TGACCCCTAGACCTAGACATTGTTCTTTCATAGTGAAACACAGAACCTGGTACAAGGTTTGAGAGAGGTATGGTCTAAAAAGAGGGGAAGGGTGGTCAGGTCAGTATTGATCCCTATCTCATGAAGCTTCAGTGTACACAGCATGCTGAAATGGAGAAAGCGTGTCACAATAAGATACTTAGCCTGCTTGAAACCAAAGTTGCCCTAGCTGACGTGATTATGACACTCCTTTATTCCTGAGTATCTCTTGAGTATGTAGAGAAAGCAATACTCAATAACTATATCTTTGGGGGGAACCACTGCTTTGGTACTTTTCTTGTCACCAAACTGTGAAGAGATGTTTTTTCACATGGTGGGATAAGCCAGGGAAGTCTAGGCTTACACAGAGTTAAACAAACACCACGGCTGTAGGATTTCTCTAACTTATTAACACGCTGATGTGCATGGTAAAGCTCTGGGAGGTGGCATTGGGCCCCAACTCTACCAGTTCCCCATTTCTAAAACCAAACTCTATGAGCTACTTATTTCTGAGTTCTGTGGAGCCCCAGCTTGGTTCACAAGAAAACAGGTGCAGGTCTAAATGCCCCACTGCATCCTTGACCCTAGATTTAAGTCTGTGTGACTCGTTCCAGCAGCTACTGAGCTCTGAACAGCATTCTGATACCACAAAGACAGATAAACAGTGGCCAGATGGAAAAATGGCGGTTGATGTATCCTTCTAGTAACTTTCAAAATTACATGCACTGCCCCTATATGGTCCTCAAATGTTACATGCATCAGAATCACATGGAGACTTGAAAGTGCCCTTTCTGTACTTAACCTTCTTAAGCTTTGATGAGAATGGAAGGAATTAACAGGTTCAGTGCCTCAGATGAAGCAAATGGAGTTGATTGCACTCTGAAAGTCACTGTCCTAGCAAGAAAGATGACCAAAGTAGAGTATTTTGGGGCAGAACAATCTCTTAGACTTCCTAGTGCACAGAAAGACAGACACAGGTTTGTTTTCTCAGAAAACAAAATCAAGGAGCAGAGGGGGAATTCCTAAGCCAGTTGTAGCTCAGGAGTGGGATGAAGTCTCCCTCCCATGGTGGGCTGGCTGGCTGTGGGAGCCTTCCCATCACTGCAGTGCTTGGGGGAGGCCAGACAGAGCAGAAAGGACACATGAGGCAGGCAGGGATCAGATTAGGTTATCTGCAACTCTGCAAATCTGCGGCAAAAGTGGCAAATCCAAAACCCTTCATAGGATTGATGGTCTTCAGGTACAGTGGATAGTGGCGACCTGGAAAAGGCATTCAGAATTTTAAAGATGGTCCCCTTACCTCCACCAAGAGAAAGAAGCAAAAAAATAAGAAAAGGGAAAGTTTGTAATTTTAATTTTAGAATCGTTCCAACTTATTCAGGTCCTGAATGAAGTGAGCCTGTCAGTTTCGGGGGGCGGGGTGCAGGGTGCACTTTAAGAAAATATTACAAGTATTTTAAACAGAAGTTAATTCAGAGTTAAGACAAATTCCCTACTTGAATAATGCCAGCTGCAGTGCGCATCACACATGCATACCTCTATGTCTGTTCATATACATTTCACTGCTCTATCCCCTTCACCTTTTCTCCCGCTGGGGTTTCCCTAGTAATTAATATAATGGTTATTTTCCCTACAGGTACTTTGCCAAATCATTTTGAAGGGATTCCTCTCCTGTTACGCCCACCAGGAGGTTGCTGTCGTATCCTGTGATGCCAGTGCTCCAGCCCCACTCTTAAATATCAGCGCAGAGGTATCAAGACATCTCATGATCTCATGCATCTCAGATCAGTTTCTGTCCTGATGCAGAGCTGTTATCTCCTCTGGAATGTTAATTTTGATGCGTTCTCTAACAAGTCTGTTAGACACAATCCGTTTCCCGAACTCTGGAGTCCTGAATCCATCACTGTGGTTGCTAATTAACTTTGGAGGCATCATGGGGCCCTGCTTGGCCAAGGCAGCTAGAACAGTGCAGAAGTTCTTCCTCCTGACTTGACTGTTTCTCTTCTATCCCCATCCTGTCTGTCAATGTTCTTAATGAAGTGTCTGTCTCACAGGGTCATATCTCAAGTGACCTCACAAGACTCACTTTTTTCATTTGATTATTTTCCAAAAGCAAATAAATGCATTCCTGGAGATGTGTAGCCATAAGATGATAAGGCAAATAAAATGTTTTTGCTCAAAATTCTTGTTTCTATTCATAGAGAAAAAAATATATCTCACAATTTAGGCTGAAACCATCTATATTTTTTCTTGTCCATTTCTGACACAGATCACGAAAGAGTATAGAAAGCCAATCAACACAGTAGAGGGTACTTGGCTTTACCATCAGAAGAGTGCAAATACCACTTTATACCTACAGAATGGCTACAAGGGAAAAGACAGACAATATCCAGTGTCAGTGAGGGTGTAGAACAACTTGAAATCCCACACACTGACAACAGAAGTGAAGGGAATATAACTGCACTCAAAAGAAAATTGGCAATACCCACTAGAGCTAAATCTATGCACACTCTATGGCTCAGCTACTTCATTCTTAGGTATATACCCAAAAGAATGTGCCCATAATGGCTCATCAGAATTATTCAGCAGTAGCTTTTATCACAGCTTCAAACTGGAAAACCACCTGATAGTTAATCAACAAAGAAGATGGAAACACTGTAGAACCTTCGTGCCCAAAATTACTGTATAGTGCTACTTCTGTAAAGTTTTGAAATACGCACAATGAAACTGTTCAAGCTAGGATAGCGGCTACCACTGGTGGGTAGTGGATGGAAAGGACAGAGAGGTGCTCTCAGGGACACTAATAATGCCCTGTTTGGTCTGCTTGGTGATTACAGGGGTATGAAACTGATGAAAATTAATTAAGCAGGACTGTTATGATTCTTGCACTTCTCTGCAGTGTAGTTAGCGTATTTGTGTATACATAGTATATGTCAAAGCAAGGTTAAAAAGGTAACACAGAGCAGTATCACATCTTGTAGTTCTTTCCTCTCTTGTTTTGCTTCTTAAAGTTGTGCTGAGTATGGGTGTACGTATCTTTCAGCTGTTTGGTGGAGATGTAGACGGATAATGATAAGCTTGATTCTGTCCCTACTGCTTACCAAAGGAACCCTGCCAGTGTCAACAAATTGGATAATCAGAGTCAGATGCTTAGACATGGTAATGATCTTGGAAATCAACTCACATGCTTCATGAGAACAAGCTGAGACCTAGCGGGGTAAATCTAAGCACCTGGCTGGTTGGATGACCCGAGCCTCATGATTCCAGTTCATATCCACCTTGGACACAGGCAGATCTGCTTGGCAACTGCTGCTTTCCCACCTGTGAAAGATGGGCTTCTCTAACCTACCGCATTCTTCTGCTAGATGGTAGTTTACTTCCTGTTCAAATGTAAATCTCTAAGTTAGAGTCCAAATAAACCTGCATCTACTCACGAGACAACTGATCATGTTTCCCATCCCTCTGGAGTTTTGGCAGTACGAATCACGTGAGATTAAGTTTTGTGAAAAACGACAGCGCGGACAGGCAGCAGCTCTTCCAGAACGCACCACAGGAGCCTTCCTCTACAGTGCTGCAGTGTGAACAATCCTGTTCCTCCCGTTTTAGAGATGAAGGAACTGGTCTACTTGGTTGAATAACTTGTCCAAGATCCAACAAGTGCTGATGTGAAAATCAGAACCTGGCCAAACAAACTGCCCTTAACCATAAGTATACAGGGTGAGCCGGTTTAAGGTACTATACTGGCGTGTCTAACCCGTGAAGATTTTAGAATACTGGAACAGATGTGCAGGAATGCTACAAACCAGCAGGAGCTATGTCATGGCCAAACAAAACACCAGTATACATGAATGCATCTGTGCACACACATGTGCATAACCATGTTATACAGGTCGTAAGTAAGCATTTTCGCTTAAATGGATCCAGCTTACTTGGAAATGTTAAATCATTGCTTTTACTTTATCCTTTAAATAGATCAAAAAATACCATGAATGTGGTTATAATGAAAGACTTTATCTGAATTTCAGGCTGCACTAAGAAACAACAGTTAAAAGAGGACTAACAGTTTCAGCTAGTGGAGAATGCGGGAGTCCGCATATATGCCACCTAAGCAGCTCCTCTTGCTCAGGACAGGGTGCACGCCGCGTATCTCCAACTGCAGTCCTTAGCAGCTTTCTTACACATCCACGCCACCACGTGGTCACCACGTGGCCCTCAACACAAGCTCTTCTGTCACTGCAAGACTTTTTCAGTTGTAACACAAAACAAAAGCCCAGCACACCACTGACTGCCTCATATATTTGATTGATTCCAGAGAGAAGTATCATTTACACCAATAGTCTTGGCTGGATGCTCAACAGAGGAAAATTATACAGGGAGAAAATAACACTCGTCCCAAATGCTTTAAATGTACTGCCATCCTGGATGCCACACATGTGCCTGCTGGCTCAAGAACGTACCATGCCACACCCTGAAAAGATGCCTCCTGCCAGCAAGGTGATGCCAACAGGTTAGTTAAAAGAAAGTAAAATGACTCTTTTCAGGCAAGTGTCGCTGTAGGCTAACCAGGATTGCTGAAGGCAATTTTGCATTGAAATAACAGTTTTCTCATTTCCAAAGCAACGTAGACGCATGCAGCTTGTTAGACTTACAAAATGCTGGTCTCCCAAGACTTTACAGAGTGAATGGCATCCATCAAATTAATTTCCTTGGGAATTGTCTCAAACAGGGAGAATGAAAAAGGCCCAGACCATTAAACATCAAAAGAATGTTCTAAATGGTCATTAAAGTTCTATTATATTTCCTTTTTGTTTTTTTTTCTGAGAGCAGATTAGATTAATTCAATTGAGAATACTTTAAGTATCAAAACTGACAGTGTGAATGTGAAGACTTGGCTAGAAGAGCACTTAATATTGCAGACATCTGTTCATTCAAGTTATGCAAAACAGAAAAGCCCAAGCTTGGCTAGACTAGGGCGCACTTACCAAGCCGGCACACGTAGACACAGCCACAGAAGAGGAGCTGTCATTTCTGATAAATCCCTGATAGAAACATCGTCGCACAGAAGGTTCCCGAGTCTCTGAAGCACCGTCTTTTCCAAGTACCTGGACAATAAAGTGACTGCTCAAAATCGCCGAGGGCTGAAGTTCTAAGTGTAGTTCCTGTCCAAATGCTGAAAATCGGTAGTGCAGGGAGCTCCTGGCACTCTGTGCCGAGCGCTTTTTCCTGCCGTTGTGCAAAATGTCGTGTGAAATATATGACCCGCCGGAGTCCACTTCTACTGGTGTGACAAAGACGTAATCTGCAATGGGAAACGTTTAGCTGTCAGCACCCAGAGCCCACAATGTCAAATGGTCATTTTCCAACAAGCTGGCCAAGAGTGACAGGCAGCTGAGATAACTTTGTTCCTATCACCAGGCACCTAAGTCCTAGAGCAAACATAACCCAGAGTAGCTCACAATAGAGGACGACCTGCTCTTCTCTACAATCAGCTCTGCAGCCCTCATTCCCACTGAAACCCAAAGCGAGGTGCAATTTTGATCAACTTCAGGAATGTTGGCAGAAGGGTCACAACTCTTGAAAGAAGTGGGCTCTTTATGTATTTAGTTATGGAATCATCCATAGCTAAATAAATGAAACGTATGCAACGGATTTGGGGAGAAAACAGTTAATATGAAGCCTCAAAGATAAATAAGTAGGGATTTTTTTTTCCCAAGAGGATTAGAAAGTTTATGTTAAGGTTGAATTGGAAGCATATTTTGGAGGGCAGAGTTTAAACAGCCAGTGATTCACGGGGGTAACTTCAGATGATCCCCGAGGACATTAACAAGTGCCAGAAGCCTCATGTGCCTGATCCTACTTACGCGTGATGATAAAACCCCCAGCACTTGTGTCACCATTAACATTTGACTCGGAGCTTTCTCTTTACTCGGAGGCAAGCACATTTAATCAGAAGCCTGAAATACTCCATGCACAGAGAAATGCCTCTAAGTTGTCAGAAATACCCTCTGCACGTCTATAGGCTGATGCTCAAAACTGTTCGGACACGTTGGAGGGGGCGTGGCAGATCAGGGGACACCTGGAAAGGCAGGTTTGAAATACTTGTACCCTCTGTCCCCCCAAGCTGCACTAATTGCTGTGCATTCTAGAGACAGGAGCTTGCAAAACAAGAGCTGCTTGGAAAAGCAAGGGTGGCAGCTCTGTTTTCCTCCGCACAACACTGAAACTGCAAAGCGTGGTCGTCCCCACATGCTTTGGAATATGCCCTCCTCCGAGCGCTCTGCGTTTCCACTTTCAAGACACAGAATGGGAAACTAATTTGGAAAGGGTTTCGAGAGATTCCGAACAACGAAGAGGCATGTTTGAGTCACTTGGGTCCTTGGTTACTAGAGCAGGGGGAAAATTTTAAAAAAAAAAAAAAGGAATTTCCATCTTCCCAAAACGATCAACAATAACCACCACCACCACCACGCCACAAATCATTTTAAGCTGAAGAACACAAGCAGCTAGCAGGAATCAGTGCAAGACGTTCCAGTTAGAGTCATGTTTTAAAAGACCCATACGAAGATGGCTTTCAACTGTTTCCTATCACACAGCCACCAGCTGTGACTTGCGTTGCTTGGGCAGCTCTCATTCTTAGGTGTTTTAGTGCTGCCTTTCCCATTTTCTCTTTGCTTCTCTCCTTTAAGCAGAAATGCTATCCTATCACGGACATATGCATATTTCAGAAATTGGATGAGGGGAACGCTCTCCTCTTCACCTTAAAAGATTGAACCGGGTGTATTTCACTTTCCTTAAAAACCTCTGCCACATTGCTTTCTAGTGGCTCTTGATTAAAAGCAGAGAACTCTCGCCTCCTCCTCCTACCAAAGACAGACTTATTACAACCGTCTCTGACTAGGGTACAAACAGCTTCCACAGTACAGTGTTTCTTACCTCCTTGTCCAAAGGCATCTGAAACTCCGAGTTTTAGTTGGATTTGGGAGGAGCCCCACCCCCAAGACACCTGCTCCTAGTTTGTTTCCAAGAGCAGAATAACCAGACTATTAGTTACATCCCGGCCGTCAAAGCTCCCTGTACAGTTTGGGCCTTCACTAAGGATCATGTCTCTCCAGGTGGTCGCAGGGACCGAAGGAATCTTCAGCCGCTGAGGGTTAAGGAGGGGGTGGTTTTAGAAACCACAGCCTCTGATTGGACAGAAGTTAAATTCTCGAGAGCTAATTTCCACGTGCCTCTTATCTCTCTGCCATCATCGGCTCAGCTTAACACCCCTCAACCCCAACCACCACCACCACAAGAAAAGTTAATCCTGCAACAATGAAAATTTTAAAATCCCAAGGAATCTGGGTTGGACAGCAGTGCTTTGCTAGACAGCTTGGATCACCAGCCAACTGTTAGCCTGTGGCTGGTGGAAAACAGGGAGGGAAGGATTTCCCTTCTGGGCATCATTTAGAAGTTGATAGCTGACAGAGTAAACAATGTTTTGGAAGTCTGTGTCTGAGGAATCTCAGAAGACCGAGAAGGTGCCTTCCCCTCTCTCTAGCAAGCTGGCTTGGGCTCTTATGACACAGGGTAGAGGAGAAAGAAAAGGCACAGAAGTGGCAATGAAGAGAAAGATGGGGGGCGGGAAGGGGTTCCTACTGCTGCCAACCTCACCAAGACTCAGTTTCTGCGAGGGAGGAGAAGAGGAAGGAGACAGGGCGGGAGCCTTCTGGTCATTAACTCCCTGGCCAATGTCCACTTCCTTTTTTAATTTCTCACCTCAGGATTAGTTTTCCTCCTAAGCCATCGGTGAAGGAGGGAGTTCTCTGTCCTCTGACATCCCCCCTCTCCACACACGAGCCATTTCCCAGCCAGCGCACACCTGCCAGGTTAGGCTGCGCGCTTCTCTAGCTTTTCTCTTTGCGGGGTGAGGAAATGAAAACACCCCAAAAGAGCTCATGGGGCGGGGTGGGGGGAGCAGGGAAGGGAGCAAATACGAACCATCATTCAATCCGCTGCCGCCGCTGCTGCTGTCACTGGCTAAGGCCGCGGCGACCGAGGCGCAGCAGAGGCAGCACAGCTGCAGCGCCTGTAAGAGAAAAGGTGACATCGTGCGCGCGTAAGGGGCGCGGAGGGTGGCGCAGGGCGCCCCCTACACCCCGCACTCGCGAGCCCCTCGGTGCCACCTGCCTTGGCCCAGCGCCGCAGTCCCGGGGACCCCCACGGCGGGCCGGAGCCCGCGGCCCGGAGAGCGCACGCGAGCAGGAGGAGGGCGCACTCCATGGTCAGGTGCGGGCGCGGCGACCACGGGCGGCGGCGCGCGGCAGGCAGAGCGCACGGGCGGCGCGCATTCTCCCCGCGGGCCCGGAGCTCCGCGCCCCAGGTGCGGCGCCAGGTGGGAGCCGCCGCCGCCGCCGCTGCCCCTCCAAGGCCTCCTCCTCCCTTCCCCGCGCGCGGGCCTGCGGAGCTGCCGCCTGCAGAGCTCCGCGTGGGGTCGGGGTGCAGGGAGCTTCCCCGGCCGGGGCTACGCGCCCGTCTGTGAGTCTGTCTGGGTCGGTGTGAGCGTCTGAGGCTCCGAGGGAAGCAGCGCCAGCTGGCTCCCCCAGCGCCGCAGCTGAGCGCCCGCCTCTCCACCGCGCGGTGATTGGCGACCAGCGGCTCCCGGGCTCCTCCGAGCCCCCGGGCTGATGCAAGGGCGTGGGATTCCGGGCTCGGGCTCCGAGGGAGGGGGTGGAGGGGGTGGAGGGGGCGGGGAGGCTAGGTTGGAGTGAGGGGGAGAGGAGAGGAGCTTACCGGGTCTGGAGGGACGATGTCATTTCAGCGCGGGGAGGAGTGAGCAGGGGAGAGGCGACTCAGGTAAGAGGCAAGTTCCCTCCCTGCACTGCACCCGTGCCTCCTCTCCAAGTCTCTTGAGGACAGAGTCAGGACAGTTAGGATCTCAGCGTCTCCTAAGTGGCTGGCAGGGCCTACCCTGCTTTACCTCTTCCAGGTGGAAATCATTAACCCCTTGATGGGATATGGGGAAACTGAGGCCCAGATGCACTCAAAATACTCAAGCTATCTAAAGGGAGAGGTGCCTGTGATTCCCACATTTGGGCAACTGGAAGATTAAAACAGCAAACCAGCTCTGGTCTACAGCTTGTGAAGACTCCTGGTCACCTTGACCTCCTTCTGGGTCTCTCTGTCCTCTCCAAGTGACCATGATTCCAATTCCTGAAGGCTGAGTGTTCGCTCCAGACACCCAAACCTACAGAAATCAGCCAAAGCAAACACAGCTTCCCGTCACAGTGTAGCTCCTGTAAGCTGTGCTGCTGTGCGTGGACTCCGTGCATTCATTTGACCCTTTGATCCCTGCTGCACAAAATGAGACACATAGTCTCAGGGGCCAATGGAAAGAACCCTCACTGGGGCAGCAATGGTGAGGGACTCCAAAGGATCACAAGGACTGTGAAAGAAGCCAAATTAGGCTCTCAAATTAGAAAGGTCACAGCAGCATATAAGGAGGGTAGGAAAGCAAGAACATGAGCACATCAGGTATCTCTTAGGGGTCCACAGAAAACGGAGCCAGAGACGTAGAGAGGAGAGGGGAACAGGGTAAGTGAAGAGCTTGAAGGAGATGATGTGTGTCATGACAGAAGAGCTATAGCTGGAGGGATGGGTGGCTGGGTAAGCAGGACCCTGTGGGATAGGCTGGGGATAAAGCATGTAGGAACTTCAGATTTCAGGGTGTGTTTGTGTGTGTGTAGATAGAAGACAACATCTCCCCAAAAAGCCGGTGTGAGTCTTAAATGTGCATATGGCCTAGAGGTGCTGAGCAGGGCCAGGGAGGATCAAGTTAGGCCGCTGTTGCTATTGTCACGGTGACAGGGCCTTGGAGCAGATGGTGGCAGTGATGGTAGACATATTGCTTTGCTCAGTTCTGTGGGTCCTGAGAGGGTTACACTGAGGTCCCTATTCAGTGATCCGTCAACAGATGTGGTCGTTCATTGAATGTAACAGTGGATTGAGGCCTGGAGAGGCAGAATGTGGCACCTCATCTCCCAGGAGGGGTGAGGCCATGCCTGGTGGTGACAAAACCAGTGATTCCCCAAGAGTGTTCTGTTTCATCTGCTGATGCTCTCACTTCATAATCTCTAAAATGGAAATCAACTCAATACTCAATGCAAAGCATGTCCTGAGAATCCATCAGAGTTTCCCAACCACTTTACAAACATCCTTTGGAAGAAGAGTTGGCTCTAGGTTTCCATTGCTTCATAAATCCTCTGTCAAACCTTAACGTGCATCAGAATCACCTGTGATTCTGGTTTGACTGCAGGTTGTTGGGCCAGGTTCCATTGAGACTCAAATTTGGCATATTTAGTGTGAAGTCCAGAGATGCACCTGTGGCCAGCACCTGCAGCTGTTTCTGCACAGGTGTGACCCATGTGCTCCCTGTGGTATCAGTGAAGCTGCGGACACTAAAGGAAGTTGGACATCAAAAGTGCACAGAAAACACAGTGCTCCACATCATGTCATCAAAGAGACAGGGGTGGACAGGGCTGGAAGTCACATTATCAAGTAAACTAAAGGGCCCTGGGGTGGTTCAAGGGCAGTCTACACTCAGCTGAGGGTAAACATGTTCTTGGTTTGCATCTCTCCAGTGAAGTGTATTTGCAAGAAACCATCAGTATCCTTCTGTTCTGTGGGAGCTAGTGATACAGGCTACATACCCAGGTCAACACTAGAGGCCGGAGATAAACACTGGCCTCTACTGTATTCTAGGCTAAGCTATGGAGAGTGTCATCCTCAGTATTACTGACATTGGGAGCTGGAAAATTCTTTGTGTTGGGAATTGTCCTGTGCTTTATAATAATAAGGTGTTTAATGGCATCTCTGGCCATCTACCCACTAGGTGCAGGTAGCGCTCTCACAATTGTGATGAAACACTGATTTCCAGATGACCCTGGGCTGGGCTGGGCTAGGCTGGGTGGTGCTGCCCCATTGAGAATCTGAATGACAGCAGATCTAACCCTGTCTGGTGACATTTTCCCATCAGCATGGAGCCTCATATCCTGTCATTCATTCAGAAGACACCCATGAATTGAGTGCCATCCTTTGAGGGGCCTAATGTGAGTGATTCATATCCCCTGCCCCCCCCCACACACACTGATTTTCCACACACCAATAAATAATTTCTTCCCATAGATGCCAACCCTCCACAGTTTGGTATTCTCACTTAGTCATACACCTAACATAAAACTTCCAATTTTGCTCATTTGAAGACAATAAATCCAATCTTTCTGTGGGGCTGCTATACAAATACAGAGCTATAACTTCTAGATAATTGTACGCATTCAATATTCTAGGAACTGGCCCTGCAATATGTATAAATGGTCATTAGATGGTGACAGAGAGTCATGAGCACATGGTCCAGCCTTGAAGGCATGAATCGTGGGCACTCTTGCTTCTAAGTTACATATAGACGTCTCAGTGGGTTTTCAAACTGTAAACCTAAGACACTACAATAATTATCAAAAGGTCGTCGCAAACCAACATAGAGAAACAAATACTGCTGTGTTGTATTCTTTCAAACCAGACCTGGAATGCAGGCAGACATGAGGGAAGGGAAGGGAAGGGAAGGGGAGGGGAGGGGAGGGGAGGGGAGGGGAGGGGAGGAGACAGACATTTGAGATAGAGAAATCATAGTTTCAGTCTTAATTTCTAAAAACTCACCCCTTTACTCCTGCTTTAAAACTCAATGGCACTGTTCTAGGTATTGACTTTTCCTTCTTTTTCTAATAAAGTAAGCTTATCTGCCCACATGTCCCCCTGAAGCAGTATGTCCTACGTAATATAGCACTGCTAGCTAGAGCAAGACATACATGATAGGCTGTATCAGTGGTAAAGTGCTTGCCTAGCATGCCTGAGACCCTGGATCCGAAGGGAGGGAAGGAGAGGGCAGGAGATGGCTGGATAATGGAAGGAGAGGAGGCTGGAGGGGAGTGACCAGAGGAGAGCAGGACAGAAGAGAGGCAGAAGGGATGTGAGTGGAACGGGAAGAAGGGGGAAGGGAGAAATTGTAAATTCTCTTATTTACTTTACTCTTATCCATGATCCTGATCTGCAAGGATCCCTTCCACAAAAACCAATAAACATTTCCCACCTTTCACACCGTGGTTGAGTGTCTGTGCTCTAACCAACTCCTTTATTATCTTTAGGTAAAGTGGAGAGGCTTTGCCTTTCCTTAGCATCTCAAAGTCGCATCTCATGGTTTCTTGGATTTTATTGGTCATGGGTATCTGGCATTTTCTTGTAGAGAAGATTTTCATATCTAGGAAAAATAACTCCTCCAAAGTCATGCATGTGTACCTAGAATAGGGAAAAAATAAAACATTATAGCTTTATCTCATCATAATTGCCCAAAGGGGAAAATGAAGGGATTGAAATGGATTGACCACCTTGAAGACCTGGGAGGCATGGGGTATCTTATGCTGTGTGTATGTCCAAAATGAGATTGGGTTAATAATGGCTCCCCTCAGAACTGGTGGATCCATGGAGAAAGATCACCTCCTTTCCCCACTTCATTAGAGATGATCATCCAGAAAAATAGTTTACAGGCAACCTTTGTTTGAATTTATTTATTAGCAATAACGTAAGAGGTGGAACCTCTTAATTTCACAACTAATACAATTAGTAACTAGATGGTCATCAGATACAGTTTAGGGATTCTAGCTGTTCTTCCTTGAAGTTCCATGTTGTTTTTCATTTCCCTGTCTTATGGCATTGGGTTGACCTCTTGCCCTGTGACCTGTGCCCCTGAGTTATCTGTGTAGTAAGGCTTCCTCCCCATCCCAACTTTCCACTGTGCTGTGGACCCGCTGGCTCTCCCTGCTTCCCTGGTTCTATTTTTAGCTCTTTCCCAAGCCCTACTATTAAAAGTAGGTCGCTGGCCAGAGGCTGAAGAGGTAGTATTAAAACTAGACTACTTATTTCCACAAAGGAACTCAAGGCCAAGTTCTGAGCTCTCTGCATATTGGAAGACTGGAATATATACTTTTCAAAAGCTCTGGAAAACATCAGCCTGCCTAAGAAGGACAAATAACTTTTGTTTTCAGGAATTATTCTCTACCACAATGATCCCATCACACTCAGACTCAAGTTCTCCCTGAACTGTAGGTCCAGGGCAGCCAGGATTCGGAACTACCGTTAATCAAAATCACCTGGAAAATTGTTAGAAGTACATATTCTTGGCATCCTGATGAATATTCCAATTAAGTGGGCCTGGGTTTCTGATGTAACTAAATATATTACAAAACAATAATTGCGACCCACTCAACTTTCACTTCTTGGATGCCAGCACTACTTCCCAGCCAATAGGATTTAAGGCCTGTGGGATGCCTTTCTCTCTTTTCTTATTCATGGAGGTAGCCAAGTTTTGCAGACAGAGAGGAAAAAATAAAAAAGAGGATAAACCTGGGACTGAATCCTTACTATGGTGCCAGGTGCTAAGTGGTAAGTACTGATGTTTGTAGTATGCTTGATTTGTTTTGGGGGTGAAAG